CCTCAGCACTCGGCGTGCCAGGCGATGGACCGCCTGCTTCGCCCATCGGCGTGCGAGGAACTTGGAGCGACAGTGCAGCCTGTCCGTATCTCTTCGACTCGTCAGCCTCTTGCCTGACCCAGAGCTTACACATACTGTCCGCAAGCACCTGCGCCAAGCCCTCCGCCTGCTCGGAGCCGAGACCCTGCGCCTCAAGCATCTTGCCCAAGGCACCAACGTCCATGGCCATGCCCTTGCCCTTCTCCTCGAGTGATGCCGACTCAGGAGCCATTGGCGCCTGCTTCGTGAGACTCCTGCACCTGCGCGCTGAGCGAAACCAACCCTCCTTCTCTGCTACGTGAGATTCTTCTCGGGCCTGCGCCAGACTCTTCTGCATATTCACCCCAAGTTGAAATTTCCCTTCTCAGACCACCAAACTCTCTACGACGCTCCGCTCTTCTCCGCGTCTTGAGTCGATTAGACATGGTCTGCAACTTCGCATACATAGGGCGAGACTCCTGAAGCTTACTGTGCAACCTCTCCTTCTCAGCCCGCAACGACTCCACAGATGCGCCCGCCTTCGACTCACTGCTGTACTTGGACACAAACGCCAGCTGCTCATCAATCTCCTTGAGCCTCTTGCGCATGTCCGCCTCGTCATCCTTCTCGCCAGCGTCGACTTGCATGGGGTCCCCAGACGAGAAGAGCCCACGCTTCGCCTCAGCCTGAAGTTCCTTGATCTTCGCCTCGAGCTCACGAATATTTGCCTGCCCTGCAGCCTCAGCTGACTGGTACTTCCACGGCGGCATCTTGGGCTTAGCGCGGACTGAAGGCTCCGAGGGCAGAACGTTGCCCCCGAACGTGACTCCTTTCGCCAAGCCGCACAGCACACACTTCTTCGCATGCGCCATGTTCCACCACTGCTTGCCCGTGCGATGATTCTTGCAACTCTTGCAATACCACCTGCACGCGGCCTCCTCGCGCGGGTCCAACGAAGCGAGCAGGCCCAGTTCCACGAGAACAACTGCCTCGACCTGCGGGGCCGCAGGAGGCAGCCGAACGGCTGGGGCGGACCAGCCGTCGGAAAGAAAGCTTGAATCTTCTGGCCGCGGTGACAGCGGTATCCGTGCGAGCCTGGAGGCTGGAGGCCTCCCAAGCATTTAGTCTTGAGCCAAAATGGCTACGGA